ATTATTCAAGATTATAGTATTTTACAAGTGTGTGTGTATATATATATATATATTATTACTTTGATTAAAGATCATACATTAGAGTGACAACAATAAGAGATTAAAAAAAAAAGTGATACCTTGAATGTAGAACAACTAAGTGAGAGAGTGGTCATAACCTTCCCAAGATTGCACAACAAATAACATTATTTTGATGGCATGAAAGATAATAACTATGCCAAGTAAGAGGGTAGAAAAGACGGTAGTTTGTGTTTTAGAAAAATACGTTTTTAAGTGAAGTTCGTGAATGAAAAGAAAAAATAATAATTAAGTTACGAATTAAAGGGAGCAAACAAAACTAATAAACGTGTTAGATACGGAGTAATGAAAAAAAAACACTATCTTTCAATTCTGATCGACAAACTGAAATATTTTTTCAAAATTCTTAAGTACGAATTAACTAACTAAGCGTGAGATAATCAATGAGAGTAACGTCCTTCCTTATTGGTGACTTTTATCCAAATGAAGGTATATGCTAAGATTTATCAACTCCATCAACTATGGATTATTCTTTTGTAACAACCGTGATTTTTAGCACTATATATTTATATATATAGAATTAGTTGTAATAAGGTTTTACCTACGTTGCTATCCTGAGGATTTTTACGTGTTTGTTGTTGTGAAGCGAAGAAAAGTCAGGCAAGTTAATTCTTGCTTTTGGTCTCTTATATGTAATGCAACCTAATATGCTATTTTTGATATTATTTAAGATTGCACTGATATTAGAAAGTGAATTGTGATATTTTAGTGTGTAGTCAAAATATTTTAAAATTGCTTTATGGAATAGTCTCTGAGTACATGGACACACACATGGGATCTAAGTAGTGTCGAACAGTAATTCCTTGTGTTCTTGGGTATACTTCGTCTGGAATTTTAATCCATAGGTACATAATGAGAATGAGCAAGAAATGGGTTGATCATAGCCTGTATTGATTAAATCATTTTTAGAGTTTTAAGTACCTGATTGACATTTACTTGAGATACTAGTACTTGAATGTTGAATCATTGATTTGGAGATAATTATAAAATAAAGAACTATGAACTCATGATGTGGTGTATGTGCTGCACATAGATATGAGGATTTGGAGATATATAATAGTATTTAAATTACATACACATATAGGTGGAGTAGGTGTTCAATTAATCATTCAATATTGGTTGCTGGCATGTACATCTATGCTATTAAATTATTATTATTTACATATAAGTTGTGTATCGATGTTAAGTTCAGAGGACGGCTACAATGATGCATTTAAGGATCTGTAATTGGCTCATTTCTAATTGTAGCCTTATTGTATATTTGATTGACTCGGTGGAAAATTAGCCAGGACTCACTAGTGTAAGGCAAGGGATCACCATGATTAAAAAGAGAGAAAATTATTATGAGTATGAATTATTTAAATATTTTTAGTGTTTAATTGATCTGATTAAACAAGTTGGAGCAGTAGTCAGGAACTTATACAATGATGAGTTTGTTGAGTGCAGTCAGGGACTATCTACGGGAGTGAATTACTCTTTTGTTATGGCCATTGAGTTAAAGGTGTCTTTAGTGTGTGGATGTGGTCAGGGGTCATCTGGGTGAGTAGACGTACAACCTAGCCACATATATGTATTTGGTAGTCAGGGACTATGCAATTCACATCATTTATTTGGAGTGGAGCTAGGGGCTCATGTGAGGTATTGGCATTGGAACTCCAACTGGTTAAGGGGAGCCAGGGGCTCATGTGAGGTAAGTGAAATTTTAGTAATTTAAATTTTAGATGGGTTACAAGTTCACAGTTTGAGTTAAATGATATAGAATGACGATGATTAGTAAATATTTCGTGGTCACTTATGTATGTATATATATACGGATTTTAAGTAAGGATTAACTTGCTGAACGATGATAGTGTTTAGCAATTTCTTACTAGGCTTATGAGCTCATCCCTTTATCACTTTCAGGTGCATATGGATTTAACTTGCAAAGGAGGCTTGATGGGAGATGGAGATTTTCCGAATTTTCCACGTTTTGATTTTATTATTGTTTCTTAGCAAACATTTTGTAATGAGATTCATTTAGTTGGTAAAATTTTAAATTAGTTGGGGATGTAACAGATTTCCTTTGGATTGATGGATTTTTCAAAAAAATGTTTTCTTATTGATTTAATCATGGATTATGGTGGACGTATGATGTGAGTCACGCAACACATTTTAGTATAGGACAATGGTTTCTTGTATTAGAATTTTTGGGGCGTGACATCTTTACTCCACATTCTTTATAGAATCAACTGAAAAAAGAAAAGAGGAGAAATAAAAAATTATTAATTTTTTTTTATAATTTGGTTAAATAGAAAATAAAAAAAATTGTAGAAAATTAAGATTCTTATAATTTTTTATTTTCTCCAAAATGTTTTGGCACAAAACACAATTAACTTCATCTATGTTTGAAGGTGACAACAATAACAGATTAAAGGCGACAACAACACCAGTTCTTTACTAAGTTTCAAAGAATTAGAGTCCACCAACAACTTTATCATTAGTTAATTTGACTTTCATTTCTAGATGTTTTTAGTAGTTCGGAAGGTTTAAATTAATTTGAAAACTTTATTTTTTTAATATATTTTATTACTAACTCTTTATTATTTTATTATTTTTATAAAATAAGAACAATTTAGGTATCAAACTATAATCTGATATTTTTCTACATTTTTTTTGAATAAATATTTATCATAATCAAATACATAATAGAAAATCAATTTTCATTTCTTGCTATTTTTATCTAATCAAACAACCACGATCCCGCAAAACAAAAATGCCCTCTATTCTGTCTTCTCTCTCAATTTTTTTTTAAAACTTTCTTCTCTCAGTTGATCACATATAGTTTTGTTTTTAATTTTTTTCCTCTTCTGATCACTTAATAATATAGTATATACATATACGTAAACAATTACTTTCATTTCCTTTTATATATATATAGCACTTGCAATCATCTATTTTGTTGGTAAGTGAAAATTAGATTTGCATAATCATATATCTGTCAACTGTAAATCTAGCACATATATATATATATATATATATAGAGAGAGAGAGAGAGAGAGAGAGAGAGAGAGAGTTAAAAGACGTACAATTAGAAAAAAGGAAAGAAAATAATCCATTCCCATAATGTAATTTTTTTGGAAATCCGGACAGTTATTAATAATCCATTTTTTTTTTCCCCGCAATCCAAACAGTTATTGATATATAAATATGTAACACTATTGTTTTTAAAGTTTATATTTTTAAATGAACGTACAACTATAATATAATTGTGATCAATTAAGAGAGGTCACCAGAGCCTCTAGCCTCGTCTCAAATTAGTTCGGTTTCATCCCACATTAGTATTCTAGTGAATTTCAATAGAATGTAATACCATTTTTCTAAGAAAATATTCAAATATTAAATTAATTTACCATAAAATTTTAAAAATCTAATTACAAACAAATGGATAAATTAACATAAATTAGCATTCTAAGAGCAGTTCCAACGGCCCATACTTTAGAGATTTTGGGCCCTTTTTCGCTATTAGACTGCTTCAATAGCATCTCCAAAAACTGGGCCCCTTCTAATGGGTCGTGGTATTTAGCGACCCTCTTGGCGAGCCACGGGCCTGCTTCTGTTTTGTTTTATTTTTTTAATTCCTGGCTAGAGCTGTGTTTTAACCCAAAACACTGTTCGGCATGTTTGCCTGGAAAAAAAGCTAAAAAATAGATTTTTTTGCTTCTTTTGGTCTTTTTTTTAAAAAATTTATTTTATGTTATTTTTTCCTCAAAATAATTGAACCAAATCGTCATTAAGGCTTTTTGGGCAAAAAAAAGTTTAAAAAAAATAAAGAAAAGTGTTTTTTTTTTTTTTTTTTTTTTTTTAAAAACTTTACTTTCTAAAATATTCATACTAACATTATAGCCGTTTTAGGCACTGTTTGGCTGACCCAAACAGTGCCTTAACGGCTATATTAGCACAAAAACATATTTTTTGAATTATATATATATATATATATATATATATATATATATAACCTTTCATTTTTTTTTTTCTATAAATACATCATCCCCTAATATTATTTACTTCATATCCAACCCATCTTCTCCAATACATCCGAAATAACCGTTTTAAAAATATAGTCGTTACAAAAAGTTAAAAAATAAAATTTATTAAAATATTAATATTTTTAAAAAGTAAAAATGCACCATTAGAATACATCTAATAGTTAAAATTTAAAAATTCTAATATATTGACGTGAATATTAAAAAATACTAGACCTAATTTTTTAAAAATACTAACATGATAAATTCATAAAGCATAAAGCTCGTCGGAGATGCTCTAATAGTCGGAGATGCTCTAATAGGAAACTTTTGGTTGGGCAAGATAGCACCGGACAGGGGGTAAAAGTTTTAATATGCTGACGTGAATATTAAAAAAGACTAGACATAATTATTAAAAAATACTAACATGATTAATTCATAAAGCATAAAGCTCGTCGGAGATGCTCTAATAGGAAACCTTTGGTTGGGCAGGACAGCACAGGACAGAGGGTAGCCTGCCTTAAAAGTATGCTATTATTATTATCGGATTGCACGCAACCGCACGTGCACTATATAAAGCATATCCTCCTTATACACACCTCATGCGTACTGCACGTGTTCAAATTTATCCTTTCCGTGTTTACTTGTCATCGCCTAATTCGTCCAGTGACAGACCAACTTAATCACATGCCACAAATTATTATCCACCGCAAACACGCCCAAGCATATCCCTTATTACATCCAATATTCTTCTGCCACGTCAATGATTCAATGTCAAGCGGCCAACATGTCATCTTTCTAATGACGTGTCAGTCTATTATTGGCTCACTTGGTTTATTCCGTGTGTCTCACATTGGCCAACTCACCTCCAATGAATAGTCCTTCCCCTCTATAAAAGAACAAGTCCGTCTCCCCCTTCTCTCATTTCATTTTGTCTCTCTCTCTCTACTTTCTCTCTCTAAAAATGGTGGCGATAATGAAGAAATGGGCGCCGTGGCCCCCCGCTGCGGCGGAGACAAGGAAGTTTCAGGTGAAGCTGAAGCCGGTGAGGCTCGAGGGATTCGATGTCGAATTAGAAGAGAATTCGGAGAGAGAGAAAGTAATGGTGATTGAGATGAGATGGAAAGGAGGACCCAAGGGTGTTCTGGTTCCGTTCCATCGAACTTCCAAGATGAGGAAAAGCATTTCCACCGAAAAGACTGTGAGGAAAGGGGAATCCATCGAATGGGACAAAGATGAATTCGAGAATGTGTGTGATTTTTCCATCGGTTCAAAAGACAACACATTTGGTCCGTGGGATGTGTCCTTTAGATTATTATATGTAAGTTGTTATACATTATATATATATATATATTCATTATTTCACATGCATCTCTAGATAGATTTTTGGGATTTATTTTATTTTAATTTTTTAGGGAGAGAAAGCAGAGTCAAAGGCTAAATTGGCGGTGATTGGGAAGGTGTCCCTAAATTTAGCTGAATGGGCTTCAACAATGGAGTCTGGAATTGAAAGAAAAATTCCAATTAGTTTTCGGGTCGCCGGAGTTGTCCGAGAAGCTACCCTTTCGGTAAGTGACTTGTCATGTGAGTGCTATGTTATTTGTCACCCAGGGAGGGTAATAATTTATGAGCTCGATTTTAATTTCAAAATTTTCTTCTTATTGTGTAATTTGTGTTTGGTAGAAAAAAGAAAAAAAATTACTTTTAGGCCATAGAAATATAGAATTTATTAACATAGATATTGAAAAAGAATATTATTAATAAAAAATATTTCCTTGCCAGATAATTGGTTTTTCGAGAGATAATGATGCAACTCTGGATCCAGGAGTTTTTGTAGTTCTTAAACATTAGAAACACCGAAAAAGGAAAGAAGTGAAAGAAAGTTGGAACAACTAGAAATTTCTAACAGATTTATTTCTAAATTTTTAAAAACTTTCTAATTTTCAGTAATTTTTTCTTTATTTTTCAGAAAATAGTTTATTCACAACGGTCATTTTAGAAATTGACGGCCAAGATTAAAATAAACAAGGTTACGATTTTCATGAATTTTAACATAATTAGTGGGACCCATTTTATAATTTGACCGCCTCACCGCCTTATCCTAGATACTCTATAATCGCTGATCTGGTTGAGGGATTTTGTACTGCAGGTGTATGTTAGCTTTGTGGAGATTAGAAATTTTCTAGACTCAGCTGGAACGGTTCAAAACTCAACCGAGTCAAAGTACGTGGAAGGTTTTTCAAGAAAGGGATTGATGGATGACAAGGGGAGAGGAGGGAGAAAGAAGAGTCAAGACGAAGTGGGTTCTGGTGACTCGGACGAGTCAATCGTTTTGGACTCGGGAGGGACGTCAGAGAGCGAGTTTGCTGCTGTGACTCGCGATTCTGAGTTGAGTTCGGAGGCCGAGTTGGATTCGTTTCCGAGTTCAGAGGCTGAGTCGGAACCGGTCAGGAAGGCAGGGTTCTTTTCTTGGAAGAGGAGGCGGGTGACTCATAAACCGGCCAAGACGAAAGTAGAGCCGTTGATTAAGAAGACCGGAGATGAGGACGATGAGAGGAATCAATATGTTGACCGACGACCAAGAGGCTCTTCCTCCGTTGACTTGGTCAGTTCTCCTTAACTTTTTCATCTATTTTAGGACTTGTTTGGCTATCCAGTTTTCTACTTTTCTCATCACATTACATCACATGATTTCAGAAGATAGGGCTGTGTTTGGTTCAGGTTCAGGGTTTTTTTTTTTCCTTCATAATTTTGAAAAATAAAATAAAATAGGTAACTGACTTTATAATTTATTGAACAGTTTTTTTAAAAATTGAACAAAATATGCCCTACATCTTTTTAAAAGTTTTTTATTTTTATTTTAAGGGGGGAGGACAAGATGTCCTTATTGAGAGAGACACAGAGAGTTTACCTTGTTGACTCTCTTTCTATATTTAGTTTTATTTGAGAAATTATTGACTTTGAATGTTTCCAAATTCTAGTGTGTGGAATGGGTTTGAATCAAAACTCATAGACTCTTTACACTAAAGTTTTAATCCTAAATAAACGCCTTAACTTGTGTAGTTATTATTTAACACAAAATGTTGGAAATAATGGTCGCTTGTTGTTATTATTATTATTATTATTTATTTTTATTTTTTCACCAAACACATTTCGTCACTATTACAAATTCAAGTATTTAACTTTTTATGCATAATGTCACTATCCTACTACTTGATTTGACATTTTAATCAAATTTTTACCATTTTGTATGTGTAGATAGATATATGGAGGGCCTAAATTCTAATTTGTCATCATCCAAACCAACTCACATTTGGTTTGATACTTCACTCAAATCAGAACCTGGTTAGGTTTATGTGAACTTACGATTACATGTGCCAACCTTCTTTTTATAGTGTCATTGTTTTCATTTAAAACTAGTAACAGCTGCATTATTTCCTAGCTTTTCAATTCATCAAATTTGAACTTATGTTACATTTGGGAGACCTTAGAATTGGAACTCGACAATTTTTATTTATTTTCATAAGCAATTAGAGAAAAATTAGTTTTAATGTGGAACTAAATTTTTCTCAATTTCAATCTCCAATTTAGTGCTCCCGAACATAACACTAGTTAATTCCAAAGACTCTCTCCCTTGCTTTTCTTTTCCCTCTTCCAAACATCTCAATATTTGGTAAAATTTGTTATCTAAATATGCTTTGCTTTGCACATCTATTTCTTGCAGAAACGAGGTGTCACTGACCCTTCTGTATCAAAGCGCCAAGATGAAAGTGGCTCCACAAGTAACTGGGAAGTGAAGGAGCTAGTAAGTAGAGATGGCCAAACAAAGCTCAAAGCCAATGTGTTCATGGCCTCCTTCGACCAACGCAGCGACAAAGCTGCCGGAGAGAGTGCCTGCACAGCCCTGGTTGCAGTCATTGCCCACTGGCTTCAAACAAACCAAAATGCCATGCCAACAAGGTCAGAATTCGACAGCCTCATCGTACAAGGTTCCTCCGAATGGCGAACACTTTGTCAAAATGAGGCCTTGCTAAGCCGGTTCCCTGACAAGCATTTTGATCTCGAGACTGTCTTGCAAGCTGACCTTTGTCCATTGTCTGTATTGAGCGAAAAGTCCTTCGTCGGATTCTTTGGCCCTGAAAAGTTTGAGTCCTTGAAAGAATTAATGTCTTTTGATGGTATTTGGAATGATGAGATTAGTAGCAATGCTGAACAACACAATGAACCTAGGGTTTACATTGTGAGTTGGAATGACCATTTCTTCGTGTTGAAGGTGGAAGCCAATGCTTACTATATCATCGACACGTTGGGGGAGAGGCTCTTTGAAGGGTGCAACCAAGCATTCATACTAAAGTTTGACGAGTCGGCTTTGATGGAGGGGAAGGTAGAGAAGGAAAAGGCCACCTCAGAGGAAAAGGCAGGGGATGGGAGTACTAAACCTGAGGAGGAAAAGGAAAGGGAAGAGGTAATCTGGAGAGGAAAGGAATGTTGTAGAGAGTTTATTAAGAGATTTCTTGCTGCTATTCCGCTTAAAGAACTGGAAGAGAGAGAGAAAAAGGAGACAGTTTCTTATTTCTCCCTACATCAGAGATTGCAGATTGAGTTCAACTTCAGCTCTTCGTCGTCTTCCTCATCGTCTTCTGCTAATTCTTCTTCATCCTCTCTTTTCATAAATGATGATGTATTCGATTAATGTAGATCAATTGTGTTATTGTGTCTTATGTCAAGATTTTTGAGCTAGTTGGAGTTAGATGTCTTAGTTAGAAGAAGGTAAATGATCATTTACACGGCGAAAGTGAAACTAATTGTGCAGAAAAAAGTTGTTTTCAAAGTGAATGTTTCTTCTTGAATGATTTTAGTTGAGTCCACCTTATATGTATCACGGCAGTGAAGAGTTTACAATGATTTGTACTTTATTTTACAGAAGATCTAATAAACTTTTGTAATGAGAATCTTCATCTTCTATAAATTTCCAAAGGAATTTTTTGTCCTATATTTTTGGCAGTCCATCAGGAAAGTACAAGTGTCTATCAAATGGAGGTGCCAATTTATTGTCTTTGTGCAGAATATTTGGAATTTAATTTAACATGTCAAAATTTATAAATACATATTTCTTTTAGGGCTATCTAATACATTTTCATCCCTTAATATTGAATAGTAGGAAAATCCCTTTGTTGAAGGTAGTAGATAGACCTTTCTAGGGGGGCACTTCACAACAGATTCACATAGTTCATAACCATTTCACATTTACATGCGTTATTATTATGATGCAGAGAAACGCGTAGTTTTTGGATAAATTATATTATATCAAGAAATGTCACGTCAACGATCGCGTGGCCTAATGGATAAGGCGCTCGCCTCCGGAGCGGGAGATTGTGGGTTCGAGTCCCACCGTGATCGTTTCCTTGAATTTTTATCCCAGTACATTTTGTAGTCTCTTTTTACATTTTAATATACACATTGTAAATATTATTCTGTAATTTTTATTTGTTTAATTGGTAGGTTAAACAATAATACTTGAATATATTCATCTTATATCTAACAATCTAGAATGGTTTTTTTAATAGATTTGAATTTTGAACTCTGAGAAGAGGATATATTAGTAGGCCTAGAAGGTAAGGCGTAGATACATTATGAAATTGTCAAATTATTTTATTCGTTATTAAAAATTGAAAATAAATGTTTGATTGGTTTAAAAAGAGGAATATAAGTTAAAGGAAAGGAAGGGAAAACATCAAATAACTCAGCCAACAGATTTTAAATGAAAATAAGTAGAGGAAAGTATTGTCAAATTAGTGATCATCAATCTTGCCTATTATTTATATAGGACAATATATATTTCATGTTTTGTTTATTACACTCAGAAAAAAAATATATATTTTTTTACACTATATTTTTCCCAATGCATAGATGTTATATTTTTTTACTCAATATTTTTCCCCATGCATAGATGTTAGTATTATTTTTGTTTTTCTCTACTCGTATGCTCGTTTGAATAATTGAGAAGGAAAAGAAAAGAAATAATTGTATTAGTTATGAAAAAGAATAAATCTTTTAAACACAGAAAAAAAAAAATTAAGCAATGCATATATATCTACGATTCTACATAAGTAAAACCCTTTGTATGGTTTCTCTTTTTTGATTTTCTCTCATTTACTTTCTCTCCCAACTTCCCCAATTATTGAAGTCCACTGCAAGTGTTTCGACTCACGGGTTGGCTCACTGAGTTCGCTGCCGTTGCAAACAGTACCTAACTACCCTGCTTGACGTTGAACTTTCCAATTCCCAGAGCCTGCTTAACGTTGAACTTTCCAATTCCCAGAGCATAACACAGAATCAAGAGATAGAGGAAGAATCAAGAGAGAAAGCGTGTTTTAGAGAGAGAAGAAAGTGTTCGTACTAGAGAGAGAAAGATAGTCTGATCTCTCTAATGGCTTTGAATTCGACGAAGAACAATCTGATATTACCAGTGACTGATGCTCCGAGAGGCGATGACAAGCTTTTCAAAGGATCAGCAATGACCAAAAGAGGAGCTTTCGCTGCAATCTCATACATGTCTTGTGCTGGTATGATGTTCCTCTTCAAACCTAGAAGGAGAAACCTATATATATATATATATATATATGTTGAGTTTTACTAAATTTAATCAGTTTGAGGGAGAAAAGGAATTCATTACAAGTTAGGAGGAAGAGAAAGTAGTTTCTTTTCTTTATGTGCTTGAAACATACCTACCTCACAATCTATCATTTCACTGTAGTTTTCTTAATTGCTTGATTTTTGGTGGTTATTGTTTGAATAATTCCTTGCTTTTATGAAATTTTCATGTAATTTTTGCTGTTTAATATTTTTCTTATTTCATTTTACTATGTTTTTTCTGTTCATTTTGCAGTTTGATGAATTCCTTTAGTTGATTGTGCATATCCTTGTCTAGTTATGTACTAAATTCACTAATGTCTAGCAGAATTGACTTTACAATCTGAATCTACAAATTGGGGTTTATCAGAAAAGCATTTCTAGAACTGTGCAGTTTAGGTTTGACATGTTATTGAGATGATGATGTATCCTAATACTGGTTTGGACGGTCTTTATTTTCTTATATGATCATTTTGACATGTTATTAAATGTTGGATCCATCTTTTATATAAAAGTTGCACCTACAAGGGAAAAAAAATTGTTCTTTTTTTATATTTGACAGAATAGAAATATTCATGGAAATTGATTCTGGTTTTAAAATGTGCACTTCTGAGAATCATGTGAACTTAGTTTGTTCTTTTGGTCTGATTTTTAGTTTCCCCATCCCACCGACCATGCTAGCTAAGTATACCTCGTAAATTGTTGAATTCTAATTAGCAATCATGTGAGCTTGGATTCAAAATAATCAAATTTCACTATCCTTTGTATGATCAGTTATTTCCGTCACACTAGCTGGCAAGAATTCGGACAATTATCCCCTTTCTTACAAGAACTCAAATATAAGACAACATTTACATGTTTGTGATGCACTAAGATCAATATGCACCCGCTACAAGTATGCTCTTGCACTTCACTTCACTTCACACACTTGAATTGCATGGTAACATTTCTTCCTTAACTCCCTATATACTTATTAACTCAACAACTCTAACGAGTATGCAAATACGAGAGAGAGAGAGAGAGAGAGTACATACAGTAGACTAAAAGTATCAAGTCATTCCTGCAATATAATTTTTCTCTTAGGGAGTGTTTGGTAGGAGGGAAAAATTGATGGAAGGATGAGGGGACGGAAAGGGGGAGGAACAGAAGACCTTACTTGATTGGTACAGGCAAGAGGGAAGGAAAAGGAAGAATTGAGGGAAGTCCTTTTGCCATGGACCCATTATATCCTCTCCTCCCAAAAGTGGGAGGAAAGGATGTGATAAGCATCTTTCTTCATTTTCTTTTACATTGGTGTCCTTTTGACAAGCCTTTTTCAATCACGGAAGTGCGTAATGCTCGAAACACACAATGCTCCTTTCCTTCTTCCCTTATTCCTTTCCTACCCATCCAAATAATATGAGCAAAAGGCTGCTTATTTCTTCAATCATTCATACTTGTCATCCTTGAAATTTTACAGCTTCTTACCAAATGGAGCAAAAAAATAGTTTCAGTTTTCCAATTTGTCATTTGGAAATTCTTGTTATCTGAATGTTGCTGTGAAGTCCCTTAAAGCCAATATTTTTATGCCTTTGATGAAGGAAATATTTGAAGTTCAATTTTTCTCAGAGTTCCATTAAATGGTGTAGGCTGGTAGCAACTCACTCTGTATGTTTGCTCTCTCTGGATAGCAAACATATACAGTGGCATTCAGATAGAGTTTTTTTTAACACGTAAAACATTCTTTTTATCTGAATGTTGCCCTCTGACGAGGGTGCTCTCATCATAAGCTTGTGCCCTCATCTGTTTGATCAACTCATGCCCTCCTCCATTGGATCGACCGGTTAATAATGTCAACTGGTTAACAGCAGATGAGGGCACAAGCTCATAGTGAGAGCGCCCTCATGGACTTTTCCTTTGGTGGGAGCCCTGCACTCTTGCATTTGTGCCATCTCTCCAATTTTTGCTCAAGAACCAAGATGCATGATTTCCACTGTTTACTTTAAAGGATACAAAAGTTTTAGTAGAATTGATTATATAAGGGGTCAATTAGTCATGGAATTGCTTCTCACATGAAAATTTTTCGGAGGGTGATGAATATTAGTCAACATTAAACATGAAGCAAGATTTTCTATTCATCAGAACTCAGAACCACCACTAGGTTAAAGTTTTCCCCAAAGTTTCAGATTGGGGGTTTCTTTAATTTTCTGTCATGTATGCTTATGCCTTCTTTCTTTCTTTCTTTCTTCTCCTCCTTATGATGTAATTTATCAGTGGTTTCATTATCATCATTCATTAGCGCTCCCTTGTTCTCTTCTTTAATGTTTACAAGCATGGCATGCATGCTGTTTTACAGTGCTCTTGGTACTGTTCAATAAAGCTGCTCTTTCTTCTTATAACTTCCCATCTGCAAATGTCATCACACTTTTCCAGGTAAAAGTTACTAACCTAATTTCCAGTATTTGTTGGTTTCTTCATTTTATGGCCAGATGTTTATCATTGCAATTTATATATTGCTTAATTTTTTGTATTGCAGATTGTAATCAATGTATTTAACGAGTATTTGAATTACCAGGCTAATAATTTGCTAAGAAGATTGCAATTATTTTTACTTGTGTTTTCTTTTGTAATGGTAGTCCTTTAGTTATTTTTATCTTAAATAAAAATCAAAATTACAAAAAAAAAAAAAAAAAAAATTGGTAACATGATGGGTTTTCTAGCGACCTTATACCTTTGTACTGTAGATTTTTGGACCAGGGATCATGAATACAGTCATCAAAAGAGTTTTTGAGATCAATTTGAGAAACTTGTCCAGATGTAAATAAGGAAGTGGATTGTTCTTCTCTTGCAATCCGAATAGGACACTGGATCTATCTTCCATTTGGCTTAGCTCCCATTGGCTGTCCCCATCTACTCACAATTGTTGGGGAGCTTTTGGCTTTTGATTTGATGAGCTGCAGCCTGCAGTAATCCACCTTGAATGTAGAATATGAACACTTGCCCTATAACTAGAAACACTAAGGGCGAGGTGGCTACTATGAAACATACTAGCTACTATCATTTCCTGAATGCGGAGTGAAAATAATGTTACCATTTATAGGTGGTTGAAGTATTGGACTCCTTGTTTAGCTGGTATTCCTATAAGGCTATAAATAACAGACCAGTTTTCAATTAGTGGACCATGCCTTTTGATGTTGATACATAAATCTCTCTAAAAAAATTCTATAATTATTATGTGGAAGCGTTTTTTCTAATGTGGTTTTAGCTCAAAGTTTAGCCCTTTCTACTTCTAAATCTAGGATGTAAACTGTGAGGCAGTAATATGCATTCAGGTTCTGTTTGTAGTGAATTATCTAGCGGGATATCAACTTTTCGAAGGATAAGTAAAAGGAGTTTAAGAGATTGCAAGTGCCCCATATGGATAGGAGACACAAGTGCTCTTATAATTAGGTTTTGTTTCTGTTAATCTAAATCTTGCACAGTTATGGGTTCAAGTGAGAGTGGCTAAATAATGACGCTGATAAAAGTAGCTATATTGACTATGCTTTAACTTACATGGTAAACTCACGAACTCTTTTGCTTTCTTTTCCAGCACCTAGAACTGCTAATAATTCTTCTTATATGCATTGTAAGTGAAACATTGAGTCATTGACATATAGTGACTTTTGCCGAATATTGTGTATTTGCTATAATAGGAAGGCTGATATAGAACACTAAATGGCCTCTTAAAAATTATTTTATATAAACAAAGTAGACCTAGATGAAGTTGAATTTTGTCATATGGGTTGTGTACATGCTATTGCCAAGTTTTACTTGCTACTTAAATTCAAGGTTTTGTACATGCTATTGTCAAGTTTTACTTGCTACTTGTGCTGGTATGGCCAGTACAAGTAGAAAGGGATAAAAGAAAGAGTATGTTGTCTGGTAGATAAATGTATTTTAGCCAAATAAAAGGAGGCTGCAGTGGTGGACAGTAAATTGTAGTGTCTAAAGTGTGGAGCATTTCAAAGTTATAGCAACTGGAAGATGAAAATCAAGATTGCGTGAGGCAAGCGGATCTAACAATTGAGATATGATGAACAGGAATCTTCAATTCCCATAATAAGAGGATTACATGAGGCAGATTGTCATGAAGAAGAAACAAATGAAGAAGAGTGAAATTTGTTTACTTCTCCAAAAAAAAAAAATAATAATAAAGAAGAGAAGTGAGCAGATGATCTATTTATTTATTTATATAAGTAGCAGATGATCTAAATTTTCGCACAGTATAGCATTTACCAAGTGTGCGGACTCAAAATTGTTATGAAATATTGTTAGGCAACTTAGGCTGAGTTAGAACCTTCATCTGGTAACAGCAAGTGGCAATATTGGTTGCATTTTTCGATGATAAACTATTAGGAGAAAAGAGTTCTCCAAGTTCATCTAGTAGTCATTGGAGAGGTGGAAGCAGAACTGGATGGTAAGGATATGAAGGAGAGGATAATATCAAATTTAGTTTCCCAAGCATGATACTTAAGAAAGGTTAAAATGAAGAGGTGCTTTGGACTTTGGAGAGAGCCATCATTGTTAAACCCTTTGAAAAAAAAAAAAATTTGATTGGCTATGGATTCCTCCAGTAGTCATTGATTCTTTCAAAAATCTTTAGATTGCTGTAGAGAACCACTTGACGATTATCATCACACAAGCTAAACATTCCATATCTTTCTCATTTGTGTGTTTGCGGATGATGAATTGTATTGCTTTTTAAATAATTAGCCTCTGAAAAAATTGCAAAGAAAAACTAAAGGAACCATTTTTGAATGAATCAGTCTGAATATGCATATATCTCATTCAACAAAAAGATGTTTACAAGTGAATTTTAAACCCTAATTGTTTTCAGAATGGAGTTTGGAACAAGTTTTGAGAAATTTTGGATAAGTTAGAACCAATTAGAATGAGTTTGAATATCAATGCTGTGATTATTTGCAGTGGTGCTCAACTCTCTGCCTCACAAGTATCAGTGTTTGTATTTCACTACAGTGCTCAGCTCTTTATCAAGACGAGTACCGATACTCAATTTTAAGTAACAGTGAACACTCAGAATTGATTCATGAATTCCTCCTAACATTTTTAAAACATTTTTTATTTTATTTTATAAATCTATCAATTAAAAATAACTTTTCAAACAACTTTTCAAAAATCTAAAAGTAAAATACTCATCTACTTGACAATGCAAATCTTCATCTGCATATTCCACAGACGGGACTTAATGAATAAAAATGAAAACTACTCCATGAAGTTTTGGGCATTGAAATTGCCAACACCTCATGTCACAATGTCCAACAATTCCTGTTTGTGGTTTTAGTTATCTTTCTTTTTATCGAGAAGGAAAAGAGCTTATATTTCTTGTTCCATAGTATTTTACATTGAATTTCAGTCTGGTCACCTCTTTTAAACGCTAACTGTAAGATGGATTCTGGCTTTTTGCATACTTGTGTTGATGTGCTCGTCTAATACGTTTGTACCTGCTGCAGATGATATGTTCATGTTCTTTTCTTTATGCGTTACGACGCTGGAAGATTATTTCCTTCAATGGGGGTGAATCCTTGACTATCACTGATAACTCCACAGCATTTGTACCATTAAGAACACTGATTCACACCTCCCCGCTTGCACTAGCCTATTTGCTTTATATGGTATGCCATTTCATTGTTTAATGTGGAACTTTTTTCCATTAAAAATTCCTCCTCCCTCTCTACTAGTTGTGAATAGTGTCTGTCCATTGTTTCTCCTTGAAAGCTAGCCGTGATGGAGTCTGTGCGGGGAGTAAATGTACCCATGTACACCACCCTCAGGAGGACAACTGTGGTATTTACAATGTTTATGGAGTATATTCTAACAGGGCAGAAGTATACATCTTCTGTCGTTGGAAGGTAAACAACATTTTTTTACAGCGGATTTCTTACAGTACATATGCTTTTGTTTGTCTTTAAGTGAAGATAATAATGTAATTCTTGTGATGTTAATAAAAAAAAAAAAAAAAAAAATTATTCCCTCAACTTCAATCTCTACAAAGTTCGTCAAATGCTTATGAATCATTCCAACGTTAGGGACTTATCCAATATAGTTGTTTTGAGGAGCCAACTGCTTCATACTGCAACATATTGTTGAAATCATTCAATGTCGCTGGACATTCGTGAACTATCCAGTAGTTTCAATCATTGATTACAACGTCAACCAATGGCAGATTTTGCCATGCCTAGATCCTATCAGTGATATAAAACACTCAACATTTAAAGTTTGAGCCGCTGTTTACATAAGCTTCTAAGATTGTGCTTCAAGGCATTCCCCTTGAGCCTTGTCTTGAAGTACTGGGATATGGTTTTATTGGAACTTAAGCTCTGATCTTCATTTTAGCTTAGGATGCTATTTTTTTGTTGTGTATAATGTAGGGACGTAGTAGTACTCCAACACACTTTTTCTTCTTCCTCTGAGTAGTTTAAAGAATTTTATTACTACTAGAAAAAAATTAGTTTTGCTAGAACTTAGTGTCGGCAACTCAATTCAACTCAACTCAATGAAGCCTTTTTCCTGATTACTTGGGTTGGCTACATGAATCTTATTTTCCATTCCACTCTATGCAATGCCGTAGGCTCAGTCGAACCACTTGTAAACATTTTCTTCCTTACTAATCTCACCCATGGCAACTTTTATCTTTCCCTTCCCGTAGTATTAATTTCTATGTGGAATATGTCACTCTTTCTAACTGGTGCATTTAGTGGTCTTCTTTGTACATGTCAACCATTTCACAAATGTGCTTATTGCTAATTCTACCCATTATTTTCTTGCCACACGTTCATTGTAACATTCTCATTTTCGCCACACTTTCTATGCATATGTTGTTTTTTTTTTTCGGTTGTTGTTCGTAAAATAGCTGTTTTATAGATTTTCTCTTTCAATCTTAACGGGGTACGCCAATTACACAATTTACTGGATGCACTCCTCCATTTAACCCATCTTGCCTTAATTCTATGATTAACATTATCTCTAATTTCTCCTTCATTATAAATTATTGAGCCTAAATAACAAAAAACTTCAATTTTCAACGTATCAGTATTTAAATGACTGCTTGGTATGTAAAATAACAAATCTATGCATCCTTTTACTTTTTTCTTGATGGGGAAAGTTTTGATTTTTGTAATGCATAATGCATTTGAGATGCAATAATCAGACTTAGAAAAAATGTGTGGTTTTGAATGTAGATTTACATGGTTTCTTCAAATAATTGATGTTTGGATTGTATGATTTTGAATTTTGTCTGCACTTGGAAACTAGTGTGGTGAAGTGTTGTTACTGTTGTATGTTCATTATAGTAATATGATAATAAATTTTTGTTTGATGGAACAAATGTCTTTGACACAAACTTTTCTTGGAATTCATTATGAAAGATGAATTGGAATGTGCCTTACTTTTAGCAAATATAATGTAATTAGTTTAAATATAATAAAATATGTGACCCATGGTTTAACTCCTTTTTGGATACTAGTTGGGTTGGTAGATCCCAAATCATTGGTAGGGCCTACACAAACCGTACTCCCAGATTGGACACTTATCGAACTTTTGAGTTTTTTTGGATTCACTTGAATCAGAATATTTCTCCTCCTTGTGAAGTGTGAACTGCTCCCCTTTGGCTGCATAAACAGTCAACATAGAGACACATCTGTGACCTTAGAACATGTGAAACTTTTTGTGTTTTCTACAAAAATATGTGTGTTAAATCCTTTACCTGAATTTGAATGTTCATAATTACTTCATTTAACCAAAAATTTTAAGGTTTTTTCAGTGTAGCATTGATTGTTCTTGGTGCATTTGTTGCGGGAGCTCGGGACTTATCGTTCGACTCCTATGGCTATGGTGTTGTTTTCTTAGCCAACATCACGACCGCAATATATCTTGCAACTATAGCTCGTATTGGTAGTACTTTCTCCTTCTCTTTGGCATCTTCGGCACTTTTTTGTCTTTCTTTTGTCATTGGCTCATTGTTGATTTTTATATTTTCTCAGGGAAATCTAGTGGCCTCAATAGCTTTGGCCTTATGTGGTGCAATGGTGAGCTGACAGTCTCTAGACCAAACGATGTCCTGTGAATTAATTTTCTAAAATGTGGTTCACTAGAATTCTAGAGCTTTGAGACAAGATCATTTTACTTTCTGATGTAGGAATATTATGTGGACCATTCTTACTGTTTTGGACATTTGTTCGGGGTGACTTGGAGATGACGATGAATTTTCCCTATTTGTTTTCACCTGGCTTTCTGGTAAGTTTTGGTCACCCACATAAGTTTGTCAATTTTAATATTGAAGAACTGATTGCTTTCTTGCGAACTTGATTTTGATACCGTGGAATGTTGTTTCTTGTTCTAAAATTCTTAATTTGAGGTTATGCATGCTTATATTTCCTTCTTAACTAATATCTACATTCACAAAATCCTTTCCCTTCCCCTTCCTTTTTCTACTCTTATTTATATTTATGTGTTTTGTTTTACCTGATTAATGCTAGTTGCATCCTTGGTAAAAATCTATGGTACATGGACTCTTTTAAATGAATGAAGTACCCATGTCAAACACATGACATTTGGGTATGAGTGTAAGCATATCAGATGATTCAAGTTTACTGTATAATTGTATATATGCTCCTCTATTCTTTGTGTTGTATTTTTATTTCAAAAAAGGTGAAGTGCCTTTGTTAAATGATTATATACAACATAAAAACACCATTTTACCCTACAAAAAATATAAAGGAATATTGCTCAAAATATGAATACTTAGCTGTGTTCCCGTGCCGTCAGGTTTGGAGATTTAATAAATCCGACACATAAACATACATCCACACCCAACACACGTACCTGTCAATGCAGTGTAACCAAAGACAGATTTTCACTTAATTAATATCTTTTAGGAACTATCACAAGTTCTTTATAGTTTGATTTCCCCTTTGTTTTGTGTGTGTGGGTGTGGGTGCGTGGTTCTGTTTGTAGTTTGATTTCAGCATCATTAGATTTGAGTTTATTCTTTAGGAGTTTCTACATGTCGTATTTTGTTGGCTCTAAACTACTCTTGCATTTCTAAAGTAGCAACTTCAGCGACATGTATTGGAGCTTTGCTTGTGGATCTATGGATTCTATTAATTTGATATGACTTCTTTTTGATGTGTAAATACTTCAAAGTATATCCTCTTTGATAGTTTACACTTTAAGAATATTGGTTGTAGAATTGGTGATGAAGCAGGCAGTTGTGTGCTAACATCTCGCACCTCTCTGAAGTATCTTGTACATCACATGTTTTATCCCAAAGTGGTGCCTGGACACGTGTGAAGGAGCAATTGAGGATATAAATACCGAATCGCACTCTTTAATTATCTTAAGCTTTTGAGGTCGTCGGTGGTTAATAATTTTTAGTGTTTGTTTATTGATTTGTAGTCTCCTTAGTCATAAAATAGTACTTCCTCCGTCCCATTTCAAGTGTCCCTTTTTGGGAACCTAACTTTTTAAGATGTGGATTTTTTATTTTTTTATTGTATTGATAGTGAATGAATTGCCAAATCTACCCACTGTGGGTCCCTAGTGATGTGATGGTTTTACATGTAATTGTTTTTATAAGTTCAATGTAGGAAGAGTAAATTGAGAATGTCGTAAAATATAGTACATTGACTTTTGAATTGAGACAATTATTTTGGAACAGCTTCATATGGAAAGGTGGACACTTATTTTGGGATGGAGGGAGTATTTTTTTGTTTTTTCATTATATTAATTTTCTTTCTTTTTTATGAATAGTTTCACAAATTCAATTTATTAATTGATATCGACCTAGAAATTGATATTTTTAATTTATTTGTTATCATTAACTTTTCTATTTCACATCTGTACTTTCATTTGCATTTTGGAATTCTTGACATATTCAGTAACCTCAAAATTTGAGATCTTGAACATCACCTATACCATGGAGAAAAGCATTTAAAGAAGAAAGGGTGATGATTAGAGATCAACTAATTTTGTTATTTCTTATTTCACTTCTACTTCCTTTTTACTTCCTCCACTCATAGTTAATTTTAGTGGGGAAATATTTGAAATTTTACTTCCTCCACCCTCTTTTTCACTTGAAGTTTCTAACGTTTTACATCAAAACACTCTGGTTCCTTCAAAGGTACCTTGAATAAGGTCATTTTAAACTCAAAACGCTCATTTTCACTCAAAGTTCGTCTCTTTTTACATTAACACACACTCATTCCTTCAAAGGTACCTTGAATTGTCATTCTTAACTCAAAACTCTCATTTTCACTCAAAGTTACTCTCTTTTTACATCAAAACATTCTCATTCCTTGAAAGACACCTTGAATAAGAATGAGATATCAAATTTTGTGGGACATCCAAGTACACTCTAAATAAGTTAAATTTTATTTTTGATTATTAGTTGTTAATCAGCATTTTTTGCAACTACCTCATTATCTTTACATCTTGTGAACCAAGTTAATTGAATGTCATATTGATTGGGCTCTAACTGGGTGGATGGACTTCAAATGAAGGATTTGTGACTCAAATCATAATTGAACATGAAGAATGGCCACTGAACTTGGAGTAAGAGATCTGAGGAAGATAAAGAATTATAGATGTAGATTATTACACTTTATTAGGATCCATGTGTGGTTAGAATCCTTCTTGGCATGAACTCCAAATAAGTTCTCTCTCATTTTATCATTTCAAATGCACGTATCTAAGACTCATATCCATCCATATATCTTATTGAAATTTAAATTTAGGCCACAGCTTAAATGACTACAATAAAATCGGTTCATATTTAATCCATCCATCAAAATGGAACCTTAGTTCGTCATTGAATACTTATATTTCTGTATGTTGCCTTGTTCTGGTGTGTTTAAAATAATTTCCTAGTGATTAGGAGCGTTGTACTGCCAGTGTTGCTTTCATTGATTTATTTGTTTTTCTTAAATGGGCAGGTTGTGTTGCTTCTATCCTGCATACTGGCTTTCTTCTTGAACTACTGTATATTCCTGAATACAACTCTTAATTCAGCACTCACGCAAACAATTTGTGGAAATCTGAAGGTTTGTTTACCAATGTCCTTTGTTACACACATGCACAATACTGTAAAGTTTATGTAAGGTGAGCGAGTGTAGGTTGACATCCAACTGTAAAATTTATGCCGAATCGTTATGTTTAAATCCTCATTCTAATAGGAAAAATATAAGTATAAAATAGTATGGAACAAAAATTAGAATAGTAACATGGTTTATTCATAGGAATATTGACTGCTAAATGTGGTGGAGTTATGGGCACATTGAAATGAAGAATAATCAATATAGTTTGTGCATGAGAAACCAAATGGAAACAAGAAAAGGCTAGAGAAATTGGAAAAAGATACAAACTGTTTTGTTTGGCTGGAAAAGGTAACCATAAAAATGAGAAAGAATTAGTAATAAACCATTACATAAGAGGCAAAGCTGTAGACTGTGGAAAATTATAATTAATAAGATTTTACTGGATACAATATTGTTAAATATAATAAGCACTTTTCCACCACAAAGAGGATTAGATGAGAACACCAAAAGGGTATTCTGGGATTCGGTAGATCAAATTATACAAAATATTGATGACTTCAACGGTTTAGTAGGAGCGGAACGAACCTGATACAAAATGAATTTACGGAGGACATGAATTAGGAAATGAAATGGAGGAGGGGAAGAACTCTTAGAATTTGTAAAGGCATATATGATTTAGTTATTGCAAATACATTTTTTAAGAGAGAAATGAGCATTTATTAATGTTCAAGAGTGACACGGATAAAACACAAATTAGTTGTTGTCTGTATAGAAGAAGAGAATGGACCATAAGTAAGGTAAATAGTTTAACAAACCAGTATGAGATGCTTATATTAGACTTGTTAATAAAGGATCTAAATATATATATATAATAAATTTTTTTTTTTAAAAAAAAGACATACGTCTGTTTTGACATATCTGCTGATTTGTTTCAAAATTGAATGGAATCAAAATTTGAACAAAAATCTTAGAATTTTGAAGGGATACTTGGAAATGTTGTAGAGACAAGTTGAAAATATGGATGGAGTCTGAAATGCTTTTGAAATCTTAAAGTAGGATGTAATATAGTTTGGGAACATTCCTGTTGGTACTTGGTGCCGGTCATCTCTCTTGGTTAACAAGAATGCACAACACTAGCTCGGACATGTCTCACATTCTTCCTGTGTTCGTTTCTTGATACTTTGTGTACTGTTATGGTGTTCATACTCCTTACACATTTTAAAGTCAAATCACTCGAGACATGTAGGACATATATTTATAAAATTTATTGTCACTGTGCTGTTGTAGGATTTTTTTACCATTGGACTTGGCTGGATTATTTTTGGAGGGCTTCCATTTGATACTGTGAGTGTAAATTATACTCTTGTAGTCCTCCATAGAACACATTTGTGAACTTTGATCTTTTAGTCAGTTCCGTGTCTGCCCTTACGAGATAATGAAATGGGTTTTCCTTGCAGTTGAATGTTATCGGGCAACTTCTTGGGTTTTTTGGATCGGGTTTATATGCCTATTATAAGCTTGTAGGCAAGTAACTGCTCAGGGTACTTGAAGGCCATTTTTTTTTTTCATAGGGCCTTAATTTTTATTTCCCAATTTTGATACGTTGATCATGGAGTTGGAGCTATACAAGCGTCGAGAAAAAAAAAAAAAAACCATTCTGCTTAGTGGGATCAGTGGGAAGTTCCTGATCCGAATTTTTTTTCGAAGATTGAAGAAGCAGAAAATGGGTCTATGAATACGTCGATAACCATATGCTGAGACAACTCTTTAATTTACACTGTAAATTATGGTGAAGATTTTTATCTCCTGATTTAATTATAAAGATTGTAGCCATTTAAATGTATTTCAGTGCCTTATTTGGAGGTTGTATTTTTCTAATGAATTGGTTATGTGACTATAACTAAATTATTGTGTAAGCTGATTGGTGATGAGAGAGAGCCAATGATTGTTAAAACAAGTTACTAGGGATTTATCCACACTTCAAATTTTTAATTCATTTGGATGAGATCCATATTATAAGTTTAAACATTCACGACACAAAAACAGAAGCACCAGAGTCCAAAACTAAAACGGCAAATTGAGTGTACGAGGGTTAGATGTATGCGTCTTTATCTCCACAAGCCATCACATTTTTGAACTCGTGATTTTAATGGTGTCCTTACGGTTACTTCAGGATTCGCCCTCACCCATGTTCAAAACTGGTGCAGAAAAATCAAATTGCTTGCTTGCTTTAACGGCAGCAACCTTTCCATGGAATAATCCAGAGCTCCAGAAATAGTGTTGAGTCCACCCATGGATCTTCTTATCAGAGCTACCCACCAGTGATATATATATATATATATGCCGAACACATTATATGGGGCATTTAATCATATTGAACATACTCATATGAGTTATTCAAATCTACAATATAGTTTTTCTATTATATTCCATTATTTATTATTGATTGAAACTAAATGTGTGAACTAGGAAAAAAAGAAGAAGAAAGAAGTAAATGTGTCTATTACACCAATAAATGAATAAAAATGTCAAAATAACAAAAAATTGATCATGTTCTACTGACTTTGCATTTCAGAAACCTTCATCAGCCCGAGTTCTTGCAAGGTAGCCAAGACTAAAACTTTGTTTGAAAATTGATAAATTTAAGAGATATTGAAATTATAAAGTGCTAAATATCTAATATTTTATTACTATATTTATTACATGCTCAGTTCAATAAATGAATTATAAATAGATTCTCATATTAAGTGGTACATGTTATATATATATAGCAGAGTTGTATTCAGCCACAATTTTTAAAATTTTGTACTGTAAACCTTATGAAGCTTCCACTGTAAGTCTTAGTGGTCATCTTCCTCTTCAAGCCAATGGTGTTTTCATGAATGAATCAGTCATTCATGAAAACACCATTGGCTTGAAGAGGAAGATGACCACTAAGACTTACAGTGGAAGCTTCATAAGGCTTACAGTACAAAATTTTAAAAAGTGTGGCTGAATACAACTCTACCATATTTAAAATCAGTTCTACACTGAAATTATGTAGTGATATTATCACGGATGAATTTTTGTTGAAAAAAAACATTCACCACATTTCACCCCTTGAATGTACTTTTATATCGAGAGCGTAGATTTGAAAAATATTCAGAGCTGATATCATGTTTACTTGTGACAGCAAAATAACGAGTTTTTGTTAAGAAACCACCAGTCCCGTCCAACTGAATTGACATCGATCCTTGAAACATATGTTGCCTCATCATGTGGACGTGGACATAATAATAGACATAACCGTGGTGGTAGAAATGGCTACAATAATGAATATAGTTGTGGTAAAAATCACTCTTATTACCGCGAAGGATATTAATCCTCAAATTTTCGAAATCAGAGATCCACACCATATCCCCAAAGGAGATCGAGATTATAATGAAATGAAACAAGTAAGAGGGAAGGATGTGGCTCAACCTTCCATGGCATATGATAATACTTGTTATCGAATGACAGGGCATTGACAAAGCATTTGTCATACACTTAAGCATCTAGCTGAACTTTACCAAGTCCCAATGAAAGAAAAGGGGAAATGAAAATAAATTAATTTCATTGATTATGATGAGCTAGTTGACATCAGATATATCATTTTTTTTTTTTTAGGATTGTGATGGAAAGATAAACCACCTGATTGGTGATGGAAATGTCCACACCAATTAATCCTATTTTTTTATTTCGTATTCTTTCTACTATGTTATCTTCAACATATTTTTATTTTCCTTATATTAAAGTTTCTTTTGTTATAAGTGTTTTTTTTAATTTAAAATTTGCATGAATAGGAATGAATCTAACTGGTTCCATAATAAATGGTGAAGATATATGTCTTACTGATAGTAGAACAACGCACACAATCCTTCGAGATCAAAAATATTTTTCTCACCTAATTTTGACAGATGCTAGTGTCAGTACAATATCAGGTCCCACCAACTTGATTAAAGGCTTCGGATGAGCTAACATTATTTTATCACGTGGAATAAGATTACAAATCAATGATGCATTATATTCTACAAGATTTCAAAAAAATCTGTTGTTTTGTAAAGACTTGCGTCGTAATGGATATCATATTGAGACCGCAAATGAAAGAAATGTGAAATATCTCTATATTACTCCATTACCTCATGCAAGAAGCTGATATTAGAAAAACTCTCTATTTTCTCTTCTGGGTTATACTATACAACCATTAGGACAATTGAGTCAAATGCTGTGATACATAAAAATCTTGTAACTCAAAACTTTTTATACTTTGGCATGATCAACTTGGTCACCCGGGGAGTACAATGATGCGTCGAATTATTGAAAATTCACATGAACACCCACTAAAGGATCAATAAATCACCTTACCAAATAATCATTTATGCATTGCCTGCTCACAAGGTAAGTTGATTATTATACCATCCCCTTTAAAGGTCATTGTTGAATCTCCCCCATTTTTACAACGAATTCATGGGGATATATGTGGACCAATTCATCCACTTTGTGAACCATTTTGCTATTTTATGGTCTTAATTGATGTCTCAACACGAGGTTACATGTTTGTCTGCTTTCTACTCGTAATGTTGCATTTACTAGACTTTTTGCTCAAATCATCAAATTACGGGTACATTTTCCTGATTACCCAATTAAGACAATCCGTTTTGATAATGCCGCTGAATTTTCTTCTCAAGCTTTGATGATTATTGCATGTCAGCTGGAATTAATGTTGAATACCCTGTTGCACACACTTATACTCAAAATGGTATGGCCGAATATTTTATTAAAAGACTGTAATTAATTGGTCGCCCTTTGCTTATGTGAACAAAATTACCTGTTTCTGCCTAGGGACATGCCATATGACATGCTGCATCATTGGTTCGTAAATGACCAATTGCTTATCATAAATACTCACCATTGCAATTGGTTTTTGGTCAACAACTAAATATCTCTCATATACAAGTTTTTGGTTGCGCTGTATATGTTCCAATTGCACCACCCCAATGCACTAAAATGGTTCCTCAATGTAGACTTGGAATTTATGTTGGTTTTGATTCTCCATCTACTATTTGATATCTTGAACCCTTGACATGTGATGTCTTTAAAGCACAATTTGTTGACTGTTATTTTGATGAGCTTGTTTTTCCACCATTAGGGGGAGAAAAGGCACAGCAGCAACGTGATATTACTTGGAATGTCCTGCAATTGTCTCATTTTGATCCTTACACGAATTAATGTGAACGATAAGTTCAGAGGATCATTCACTTGCAAAATGTTGCAAATCAATTACCTGATGCATTTACTGATATAAAGAAAGTAATAAAATCACATATACCAGCTGCAAATATTCCAGCACGAATTGCTGTCTTTAAAGGACCTTCTGTCAGTAATTGTGATGACCTTGTGGGCGGGTGTGCCATGGGCGGGTGCAAGAGACACTGCCAGGCTATCACATTGGCGAGCTACGGGTGCACAAGTCCCACATCGCCTGGTTAGAGGAAAGGTGAAGTTCTTATATGTAAGTGTGTCACCTCCAATTGATATGAGGCCTTTTGGGGTAAAACCCAAGAGCAAAACCGTGCGGGCTCAGGCTCAAAGCGGACAATATCATACCATGTGGTGGAGCAGGTCGTTACAGTAATGCAGCGAATGCATCTAAAAAACGCTTGAAGCGTCACAAAGAAAAATTGGCGTTCCTAAAGAGGCCACAAAAGGAGCAACAAATATTATTGATCAATCTGAGATTATAGCCTTTGATAAGGTAGAGGCTCTTGATGAGGCCCAGGTATCTAAAAATGATGAAATAATAAATATTAATTAGGCAAAGGCAACAGATGATGATATGGCCCTTGACGAGGCATATGCCCTTGATGAGGCAAAGGTACCTAAAAATGATGAAATCTCACTAAATTATAAAACGAGATGAAATAGAAATGAAATTGTTGTCGACAACATATTCTCATATGTCGTTACTATTGATATTAATAATGAGAATTCGGAACCTCAAAACGTCGAAAAATGTCGATGAAGAAATGATTAGCCAAAATGGAAAGAAGCAATACAAGCAGAGCTGAATTCATTAGCTAAATGTGAAGTATTTGGACCTGTAGTCCAAACACTTGAGGGTGTTAATCCTGTTGGGTACAAATGGGTATTTGTACCAAAGCGTAATGAGAAAAATGAAATCGTGAGATACAAAGCCTGACTGGTAGCTCAAGGTTTCTCACAGAAACCTGGTATTGATTATGAGGAAACATACTCCCCTGTGATCGATGCACCCACATTTAGATTTATAATACATTTGGCAGTCACAGAAAGATTGCATATGCATGTAATGGACGTGGTTACAACATATTTATACGGATTACTAAATAGTGATATTTATATGAAAATCCCAGACGGATTTAAAATGCCTGAAACAAAACCATGTAATATGTAATCGATAAAATTACAACGATCCTTATATGAATTGAAGCAATCTAGACGAATGTGGTACAATCGCCTTAGCGATTACTTATTCAAAGAAGGATATGTGAACAATTATATTTGTCCATGCATTTTTATCAACAAATCAGAATCTGGTTTTGTTATTGTTGCAAGTATATATTGATGATCTGAATCTTATGGGAACTTTGGACGAGATCGAAAAGACGGCCACTTACTTAAAGAAAGAATTCGAAATGAAAGATCTCAGAAAGACAAAATAATGTCTTGGGCTGCAGGTTGAACATTTTTCGAGCGGTATTCTCATCTATCAATCAACATATACAGAAAAAATCCTGAAACGTTTTTATATGGATAAAGCCTATCCATTGAGCTCTCCAATAGTTGTCCGATCACTTGACATCAAGAAAGATCATTTTCGTCCTCGAGAGGATGATGAAGAACTCCTTGGTCCTGAAGTGCCCTATCTTAGTGCGATTAGTACTCTTTTATATCTTGCAAATTACACAAGACCTTACATAATTTCCAGTCAATTTATTAGCAAGGTACAGTTCTGCACCAACCGCAGACATTGGAATGGAATCAAATAAATATTGCGATATCTTCGTGGCACAACTGATATGGGATTGTTTTATTCAAAAGCACTAAGTTCTCAATTCCAGATGCCGGCTATTTCTCTGACCCACATAAAACCTATTCACAAACATGATATGTGTTTACCTGTGGCTGCACTGCTATATCATGTCGATCTATGAAACAGGCAATGATTGCAACTTCTTCAAATCATTATGAACTACTCGCAATTCATGAGGCAAGCAGGGAATGCATTTGGTTGAGATCAATGATCCAACATATCTGAACAACATGTGGTCTCTCATCAATAAAAGATAGCCCAACAGTATTATATGAAGATAATGCGGCATGTATTGCACAGATGCAAAAAGGGTATATTAAAAGTGACAGGACCAAACACATTTTACCAAAATTCTTTTTTTTCACATGAACTCCAGAAAAATGGTGATATTGATATTCAGAAGATACGTTCATGTGAAAATCTAGCAGATCTATTCACTAAAACGCTTCCAACTACAACATTCAAGAAACTAGTGCATAACATTGGAATCCGTCAACTGAAGGATCTTCAAGGATGAACTAATGCAACAATTAGGGGACGCAATTGATCAAAGAGGTATTGACATACTGTACTCTTTTTCCTTCATCCAGGTTTTGTCCCATTGGGTTTTCCTGGCAAGGTTTTAATGAGGGATTTTTAATATATGCAATACCATTTTTAGATACATAAGAATATTGTACTCTTTTTCCTTTGCTAGGGTTTTGTCCTATTGGGTTTTCCTTAGTAAGGTTTTAACGAGACATATTCTTAGTATAATATTGTGGATCCCAAGTGGAAGTGTTATATATATATATATATATATATATATATATATATATATATGTTTGTGTGGGATCCACAATGGTTTAAGTCATCCATGATAACACCCTTGACTTGAAGAGGAAGATGACAACTAAGGCTTACAGTGGAAGCTTCATTTTGAATCTTACAGAGGAAGCTTCATTTTAAGCCTATAAATAGACACATATGTATTGATTTGAAAAAACGATTACAGAAAGTATATAAATGAATTCTTTTTGATTTCCTTTCTCTTGTTTTTTTTTTTTATTTTTTTTATTTTTTTATCTCTCTTAATCCTACTATATATATATATATATATACATATACATATATTTATTATAGTAAATTTTCATTTAAAATTTTGACTCCTAGTAAGTGGACTTATTTTGACTTTTTTTTTTTTTTTTTTTAATGGAAACTAAAGAAATTTAAAGAATAAATGAGGGAAAAAAAAGAAAAAGTTAAGAGAATTTTGGAAACTTAATATTTTTAGGGGCATAATATACAAATTTCTATATATATGTAAAAATAATTTTAAAAATTTATATATTATATAGGGCATATGCTGGCTCCGCCCTTGTTTCTAAGTACAGATTTTTTTTTTTTTTTTTTGATAACCCATAACTCCCTGAGGCAGGGCCGTTCGGACCCACCCCCAGGGCACCAAACTGGGTATGCTGGCTCCGCCCTTGTTTCTAAGTACAGATTTTTTTTTTTTTTTTTGATAACCCATAACTCCCTGAGGCAGGGCCGTTCGGACCTACCCCCAGGGCACCAAACTGGGGATACAGCAGCCGGTTCCACAGCTACAGTACCAGGTTAGTCGACGAAACTAGAAGGCTTGATAGAGGACTCGAACACTGGCCTCCTGTGTGACAGTCCCAAGCCCCACCATCACTTCTAAGTAGTGAATTAGTTTAATACTCATTGGAGAAAAACTTATTTGCGTCCAACCGTTCATTATCGGCGTGTAATCAAGAACCTTGTGGCACAGTGATATCCCTTTTACCTCTCAAAGTTCAAAGTGGATGATGAGTGTTTAAATCTCCAAAGGAGTAAAGTGAATGTGTGAGTAGTGTGTGTAAGTTTCTTACCAATAACAAAAAAAAACAAAATCGGTTTATGTAATACGCGCATAAACATATATATTAGACGAACGATCCGAATACGTCTGTTGCACAGACGAACGGTTTGAATACACCCGTTGCAAGGTGCAACGACCACGCAATGAAGTTCTTCTCCACTCATTGAATCAAATTCAACATCATAGTGAAGCAAGTTCAGTTTATACAATCATGTGACTTTGAAACTAAAGTGAACATGAATCTTCTAAAAAAGGGGTTTGATTGCAACTTTGATAGGCACAGGCAATTGTTGCAACAACAAATAGGAATCTCACAACAAAGACACATTCATCCCAAGATCGAGATGTAAGAATTGCTTCAGTAGTTCAGTAAATAATACTTCTCCCCAATAAATTGCTTAATACCTTTATTCAAATAACCAAAAATGATATTTAGTCTAATTAGGATCAAACCGACACTAAAGATACAAAAATAATAAAATTGATGATCGATAGTGTCTCACAAAACTATAGAATTCATAATAATGTTGTAATATGGGCTAATATTTTGTGGGACACCTAACATACTAGTCCCGTACCGTTTACAATAACGATGTTTTGTATAACAATATGTGCAGTCCGTCCACCCACAAAACGATTGTGAGTGTCAGCTTTGATCATCACTATACGGTTTTTAACAGAAACTTTTATAACATCCAATCCAACACAATTTTCTTTAAAACACAACAAACTGAAAAAAAAAATAAAAAATAAAAACATTCTATTATAGGGATATCAAGGTCCCCATGAAATTACGGAACTCGCCCTCCCTCCTCTTAACCAAAATAACTGTCATCTTTCCCGCAAAACACAACAAAAGGAAGAGAAAAGAAAAGATAAGAGAGACAAGGCAAAAAAAAAAAAAAAACAAAAACAAAACCCAAATCTCTCTCTCTCTCTATAATCCCATTTTCTCCTTCAGAATTTTCTGAAACAATTTTATCCAATAAATCAGAACCCTATTTTCAATTCTTTATTGTTCTTTATTGAAAAAGCAATGTGTGTTGTCCTCCTTTCAAGATCCTCTCTAACAAGAGAAGGAGAACTTCATGATCAAATCGTGTGACAACTTCATCACCACCACCATCATCATCATCACAATCAATTCTAGAGTTACAACCGAGGTCTATTATGCAATTCAATGAACACGAGGACGATTTTATCCCTAGGGTTCCGATTGAAAGGGCAAGATCGTCTTGTTCATACCCTTTGACTCATTTGCTCTACGATGGCCTCTCCAGAAAGAGTTTATCGTACGGAAAGCTCCCTCAGGAACCCCTCAGACTCACCATTCTCAAATTGGATGGCTCTTCCTTCGGTATCTTAATTTTCTCTCTCTAAAGTTTTTCCCTCCTGCAATTTTGTTTTAATTTTTCTGAATTTTTTAATATAATATGTTGATCAAATTAATTTTACAGAGGTGGAAGTTGCGAAGACGGCTACGGTGGCAGAGTTGAAGCAAGCGGTGGAGGGTGTCTTCAGCCATTTTCAGAAGAAGGGATCTGTCGAAATTTCATGGTATTCACTTTCGATGAGATTTGATTTTATGTTCATTGCACATAATTAGGGTTTTGTCTTTGTGTGATTTAGATTAGCAACATATTTTTTGGGAGCATTGATTTTGTGGAAATTGATTTTTCATTATTTTTAATATATGAACTTTAACTGATTGATTACAATGAATTGGATTATTATGACAAACATTGTACATGATGGTGAAATTTGTAAATGGTTGCTGAAATACTAAAACTCATCCAGCAGCATCATTTTAATCCAATTCTTTATATGGGCCAACTCTAGCAATGAAGCAATGAGAAGATATGAACATGACATTACCCAATGTTGGTCTTGCTACAGTAGGGTATTAGGGAGGGATGACTCGAAATGAACCTTATTTGAAAAAAGTAGATGCTCTGATACTCGGATTTACGCCAATAAAACTGATGTTACCGAATCAGATGACGACTTTCAAGTAATTAAAAGATATAATTCCACATTTTCCCATGCATCCTTACACCCCTGCCCCAATTTTTTTTTTTTTCTTTTGTAAATTACGCTCGTCTCTCTTGAGATATAGTGTAATTTACCTTTTTAGGTGGTGAGTTTGATTTTACCTTTTTCCCTAAATAATTGTTAAATTATTTTAGTCGACAAGTGGGGTTAGGGTGAAAAGACAAGGGCATATCTAGTATTTTAAAATATAATTTCACTGGCATAAGCAAATTCTGCCCTTTGACTTTGTTACCGTCAATCAAAAACTAACCACAGGGGAGGTAGTGTAGTTTTTGAATCAACAGGGATATTCTCTTTAATTATTTTATACCTCATGCCTCGGGGGTGAGTGCAATTTTTCCCTTTTGTTCAATTTTCTCCTTCTTCTTTTTCCCCCTTACGTTAGCTTATTGGTTAAGTTAATTATAACGTATTAAATAGTAAAGGTATTTTGTAGATTCTCTTATTAAAGTTGGTTCTTTTCTACTACAGTTATACAATGGTGTTGTACTTAAGGTCCAAAATGGTACTTGTAGATTATATTTTCATTTTTAACAAACATAATTGATATAATGTTTTGAATTGTATATTTAATTCTGACTTGGTTCTTGATTCTTGATTCAAATTTGTACATGCAGGTCGCACGTTTGGGGGAATTTCTGCTTATGTTATTTTTGTCACAAGCTACTTTCTGATGATGAATTCATTAGTTTTTATGGGATCAAGGATGGTGATCAGGTCAGCATTTTGTTTCCACAAAATGTTTTTATTACAGTGATTGCAATTCTTGTTTGGTCTCCACTTAATCATACACAAACTCCTATCTGTTTTTGTGTGCATATTGTGTATTCTTTAGATGTCTTCTACAGCTATGACAAAAAGTTCTCTCAGAACATAATACTCAGTACTTTCTTTTCAACCTGAGACTTCGTTGAGATAGTCGGGTTTGCTTGTTTTATGCTTGTCTTTTGATGAATGTATTGGCTTCTTCTTTTCCCACCCACAACATTGGAAACTTCTTTATGACACGGACTATCCTACTTTATATTGTTTGTACAAAATAAAAATTATGGTTTTTTTTAAATAATTGCATCAGAAAAATATCTATGAAGGAAAGATTGGATCATGCTTGAAATTTCTACATTATATCACTCAAGAGGAAACCACTTTTTGCTTTAAGATGAAATAGCGTTTCATATGTAGCAGAATTGGTTACAAAATATTACACCATTCCAGTAGAGCACGATTTGCTTGTATGCATCACTCAAATTTATTTTTTCCTTATTATCTCAGCTCTTTGTATAAATTGTTAGATCTTTCATGTGGTTTATAATGAGTGTATGGTTTATCACTGCTCTACGTAGGCACCACTGATGGGTTTTCGAAATAAAAATGCAATGAAAATGAGTTTAACTGATATTATATTCCTATTCTTCTTCTTCTTCTTCTTCAGCTTGATGCACATTATTGGACATTAAATGTCAAGACTCTAGTTTATTCATGATGCTATTGACCTTTCCTTTTCAGGTTTCCATGGATGTGTCTTCTGTTCTCACAATACATGTCTTGTGGGTTGTGAACTCAAAATATGTTTTACACGGAATATCTCTGCTGACTATATCTTTTTGTTTGCTAATATATTTTGTCATTGAACTTGCAGCTTCAATTCGTCCGGCATGACCCTATCAGCTGCAATCCGATTAAGAGGGAATCAAATGACCAAGAGTATGATCTGGAACAAGCAAGGATGTGAGGCTCTCTGGTGTTTTCTTTTCCAGTTTTGTATTTATATCTAATCATATATTATGTAAAACAAGATGCACGGTTGTTGCTTATTGGCTATACCAGCTAATTAAGCACCGGCTTATGGCCTTCCTTTTTTACTGATATCTGGGAGAGAGATATTTTGCAGACCAAACCCTAATCTATTGCACTGATAGATGGGAAACTACAAATCACATGTTAAGAAATGAAAGATTTACCACCGACTGCCCACTGTTTGCTTATTCTTGCTCACAGTTTAAAGTCGCAACAGTATGATAACATGGGCAAGACCCTTTATCTCAATTAAAAGCAAAGGAAACTGAACTATGAGAGATTCCCCTTTGCATTTCTAAAATAATTGTAGATTATGTGTTCAGGTGGTAATGCCTGCCTGTTAAGAGAACTAATGTGAAACGTAGGACTATCCAGTAACTAGACCTGTCTTTTGATAAGTTTCAAGACACTTTTTACCCATGCTTAAACTTCCAAACAGGAATCTTTGGTTTCCAGATACCCAATCAGCATACTGTTACAAAGAATCCTGGTTATCTAGTTAATTTCCAGTTTTTTAAATCAGAACATGTTTCTTTAACAATTTTGTTGCTCAAGAGGTAATTGATTCTGGTCAAATGAAAGTTCCTTCGAAAGGTTGGAGTGTCCGTAACATTTGAAATTTGAGACTTTCGTAATCTGATAGATTCTAAGCCATGCACACAGTCTACCGGTATTCTCACTTGTTCAAAATGTAGATTTGATAATGAGACTAATCATCGTGCAGGTTGGATTTCTCTGAAGAGAGAGAACAGAATGGTGAGAAAGACGATGGTTACGATGATCAAGAAAATCTAAAGTACTTGCAATATTACGATACAGATGAGGATGTTGAATCAAACTGTCAATCGAATTGTGCTAACTTATTGGGAGGATGGTTTTCATATCGCAGATTGCCAAGCCCAAGGAGATTCGAGGACAGTTATTTCCCATCAAGATCCACCGATGGTTTCCTAGGAAGTTCCAAAAATTTTGCAAAGCCTTGCAGTAACAAACCTAATTATCGAAGAGATGCTTGGAAGGAGATATAATGATCTCATATTTGCTCCGCTGGAACTTTTGAACTAGTCTCTGAATTTTGAGCTTCAATTTGCATTTGAATCTCTTTGTAGCTCCAAGTTGAATAGGATACAAGCCTACAAGCTGGAAAGCTGTTCTTGTATAAAATAACAGTTTGATTACTTATTAATTAATAGAAATGGTTCTGATTGGTTACACGGTTTGTTGAATTCTTTTTTGCCTGTTTTTATCGCACCAGCAAGACGGTAGAACAGTGAGTTCAATTTTCTTCTCATATGCAAGGTCTCTTCTCTGGATGATATGATTTTTGATGATGATGGTCCATTTATTTCTCATGCAGATGCTTAGATGAAGCTTTGGTGAGGCTCAAATTCAGCTGGGACAAAAGTTGCCAATTTTTCTGTATTGAGCTACTTTTGTTTTTTTTTTTTTTTTAATATAGAAATCTTTTTCAAGGCTAAGATTTATGAAATTTGTAAAAGAATCTTCCATTTGTGGGAGGCAGTCAGTTTAAAATGTGCTGAGAGTTCCATTATTATAAGTTCATTTTAGAAGCACCTAACTAAAACAAGCAAAAAGTGAAAATTTTATGTAGCAGCTCTGCCACTGCAACAAGTGAAAAGCATTAAAACCATCTATTTTAATTGAATGGAATTATTTATTTATTTATTTTTTCCATTCAGAATTTTTTTGGCATTAAGTCTAATAGTATCATGTATTATTCCTATCTTAACATTTTTAAATTTCAGAATTTTAGCTCCGATTAGCAAAGCACCAGAGAAATTTTCTATTCAATGGATGCTTAAACAAGAGAGTGGGAGATGGTTTAAGTAAGCATGAATGACTTACAAAGTTCAATTGGTGATATAAGGGGTGTTTGTAACTGCTACTGAGCCATTAATGTCTTAAAGTAGAATAAAATAATTGTAACAATCATAAGAAATTGATGAGTTGAATGGGTTGAGTGCAGTTGTCCAGCTAGCCTCTGTATGCCTAGATGAGTGAATGGGCAATTCAAATGTGTAATTGTATGAATATATGAACCTTACCATCTATTTCTCTTATAGAAGTTAAATCTTAGTTCAACTTCTCGATATGAAAAAATGATTTTGAAAGAAAAGTGATACCCGATTACTTAATATAGATGCAGGCAAACTTAATGAATTATATTTTATTGATGTAGTTAAACATGAATTACTATGGGTAGAGAGAATAAAACGAAAAAACGTTCTCCCTATTATATATATCAATATGTGGGGTCCACAAGAAAGTAAGTCAATGACACAATGTTTGCCGTGAAAAGGAAGCTCAAATTCTATGGCTTATTATGTAAGTTTTCATCTTTGTGGCTTATCATGGAAGCCTCACTTTTTTCCTATAAAAGCCATGCATCTACTAGAAGTAACTTGAACAAGTATAATAAAGTTATTTTACTCTCTCTCTCTTATACTTTCTCTCTCTAAAGCTCTCACTCAATATTACTCTCTCTCTCTATATATATTTATCATACGTTATCAGCACGAGCTTTATCCATCTGAGATTTGAAGAAGAAGCTTTCTCTCCCTCTTTCTATCCCAACTATATATTTATTTTGTGATATTAGTTTTGATAGATTGTTGGGTTGGTTTGTTTTATCGGATAAAATAATATTTCTGACTCCAAAGGGTAAGGAAATGTTAATTATGGATTATTATTCAAGAAAATAAATTTGTTCACTTAAATGATATATGTGCTTACACTATGGTCGGTTCTACCACCTTTATTATTTAATGATTTATGGGTCGGTTTTACCGCTTTTTTTTACTAATTTATTTACTATGGCTGGATTTACCATCTTTATTATTTAAATAATTTATATTATGTTATTATCTCATTTAATGTCATTTTATTTTATATACTATGCTAAATTATATTTTTATATTGTTGTCACATCTAGTTATTATGAAAATGTCAAATTTGACAAAGTTGGAATTCGTGGCCCTGGATATTTCTGGCAAAAATTATTTATCATGGATTCTGGATGCTCAGATCCATTTGGATGCCATGGGCCTTGGAGACACAATTAAAGAAAAGAATGATGCATCATTGCAAGATAAAGCAAAGACCATGATTTTTCTCCGGCGTCATATTAGTGAGGAACTGAAAAATGAATACCTCACTGAAAGAGATCCATTTTGTTTGTGGAACAATTTGAAAGACAGATATGATCATCAAAAAACAGTTATCCTCCCAAAGGCCAGGGCTGATCGGCTGCAACTGAGGTTGCAAGATTTCAAAACTGTGGCTGAATATAACTCTGCCCTATTCAAAATCAGCTCTACATTAAAATTATGTGGTGATACTGTTACTGATGAACTTCTGCTAGAAAAAACATTCACCACATTTCACGCCTCGAATGTACTCTTGCAACAACAATATCGAAAGCGTAGATTTAAAAAATATTCAGAGCTGATATCATGTTTGCTTGTGGCAGAACAAAATAATGAACTTTTATTAAGAAACCACCAGTCCCGTCCAACTGGATCGACATCGATCCCAGAAACATATGTTGCCTCATCCCGTGGTCGTGGACGCGGACGCGGACGTGGTCGTGGTGGTAAAAATGAATATGGTCGTGGCAAAAATAACTACCACAATAATGAATATGGTCGTGGTAGAAATCATTCTTATTATCGTGAAGGATATCAGTCCTCACATTTTCGCAATCAGGGATCCACACCATATCCTCAAAGGAAAGATCATAATGAAATGAGACGAGTAAAAGGGAAGGATGTGGCTCAACCTTCCAAGGCTCATGATAATACTTGCTATCGGTGTGGCATGACAGGGCATTGGCAAAGTATTTGTCGTACACCGAAGCATCTAGCTGATCTGTATCAAACCTCAATAAAAGAAAAGGGAAAACAAAAGGAAATGAATTTCCTTGATCATGATGAGCAAATTGACACCACAAATCTGGAAATGAATTTCATTAATCATGATGAGCCAGTTAACATCACCAATCTGGATGTATTAGATTTTTTTGATGATCGTGATGGAAGGATAGACTTCCTGATTGGTGATGGAAATGTCCACACCAGTTAATCTTATGTTTCTTTTTTGTACTGTCTACTATGTTTTTTGTTGTCCTTGTATTAAAGTTTTTATTTTCTAGTTTGTATTAAAGGTTTTTGTTATAAAAGTTTTTTTTTCTGATAAAGAAATTTACATGAATAGGAATGGATCTGACTAGTTCCAAAATAAATGGTGAAGACATATGTCTTGCAGATAGTGGAACAACGCATACAATCCTTCGAGATCAAAAATATTTTTCCCACTTAACTCTGACAGACGCTAGTGTCAGTACCATATCAGGTCCCACCGACTTGATTGAAGGCTCCGGACGAGCCAACATCATTTTACCACATGGAACTAGATTACAAATCAATGATGCCTTATATTCTACAAGATCTCGGAGAAATCTGCTGAGTTTTAAAGACTTGCGTCGTAATGGGTATCATATTGAGACTGCAAATGAAAGAAATGTCGAATATCTCTACATTACTTCCATTACCTCAGGCAAGAAACTGATATTAGAAAAACTCCCTGTTTTCTCTTCTGGGTTATACTATACAACCATTAGAACAATTGAGTCAAATGTTGTGATCCATAAAAAATCTTGTGACCCAAAACTTTTTATACTTTGGCATGATCGACTTGGTCACCCAGGGAGTACAATGATGCGTCGAATTATTGAAAATTCACATGGTCACCCACTAAAGGATCAAAAAATCATCTTACCAAATAATCATCTATGCACCGCCTGCTCACAAGGTAAGTTGATTATCAGACCATCCCCTTCAAAAGTCATTGTTGAGTCTCCTCCACTTTTACAACGAATTCATGGGGATATATGTGGGCCAATCCATCCACCATCTGGACCATTTCGTTATTTTATGATCTTAATTGATGCATCAACACGATGGTCACATGTTTGTCTACTTTCTACTCGTAATATTGCATTTGCTAAACTTCTTGCTCAAATCATCAAATTATGGGCACACTTTCCTGATTACCCAATTAAGACAATCCGTCTTGATAATGCCGCTGAATTTTCTTCTCAAGCTTTTAATGATTATTGCATGTCAGTTGGAATTTATGTTGAACATCTTGTTGCACACACTCATACTCAAAATGGTATGGCTGAATCTTTTATTAAAAGACTTCAGCTAATTGGTCGTCCTTTGCTTATGCGAACAAAATTACCTGTTTCTGCCTGGGGTCATGCCATATTGCATGCTGCATCATTAGTTCGTATACGACCAACTGCTTATCATAAGTACTCACCATTACAACTTGTTTTTGGTCAACAACCAAATATCTCCCACATACGAGTTTTTGGTTGTGCTGTATATGTTCCAATTGCACCACCCCAACGCACTAAAATGGGTCCTCAAGAATTTATGTTGGTTTTGATTCTCCATCTATTATTAGATATCTTGAACCCCTGACAGGTGATGTCTTCAAAGCACGATTTGCTGACTGTCATTTTGATGAGACTGTTTTCCCACCATTAGGGGGAGAAAAGGTACAGCAGTAACGTGATCTTACTTGGAATGCCCTGAAATTGTCTCATTTTGATCCTTGTACAAACCAATGTGAACGAGAAGTTCAGAGGATCATTCACTTGCAAAATGTTGCAAATCAATTACCTGATGCATTTACTGATACAAAGAAAGTGATAAAATCACATATACCAGCTGCAAATGTGCCAGCACGAATTGTTGTCCTTGAGGGACCTTCTGTCAGTAATGCAGCAAATGCATCTAAAACACGCCTGAAGCGTGGTAGACCAGTTGGTGCAAAAGATATTGTTTCTCGTAAGAGGAAATCACAAAGAAAAGTTGGCACTCCTGAAGAGGCCACAAAAAGAGCAACAAATATTATTGATCAATCTGAGATAATAGCCTTTGATAAGGCAGATGCTCTTGATGAGTCTCAGATACCTAAAAATGATGAAATAATAAATATTGATGAGGCAAAAGTAACAGATGATGATGTGGCCCTTGATGAGGCACATGCTGTTGATGAGGCAAAGGTACTTGAAAATGATGAGATCTCATTAAATTATGAAACGAGATGGAATAGAAATGAAATTGTTGTCGACAACATATTCTCATATCTTGTTGCTCTTGATATTGAAAATGAGGATCCGG